CAATCCTTTTCAACAAGGAATTATTTCTCCCTCACTTTGCCCATCGGGTCACATTGGGGCACAGCTGGCAGAAATGTAAATCCCTGCTCAGTAACTCAACCATTATTAATTGATTTGTTTGCTTGTTTATTGATACAGCACTTAAGCACTGATATACTTCTTCACGGTGTTTTGCAGCCCTCTCTGGGCAGTTTACAATTTCAGCATATTGCCCCCAACAACCTGACTCCTCATTTTGCCGACTTCGGAAGGATGGGAGGCTGAGTCAACCTTGAGCCCCATCAAGATTGAACTCCTGGCAGTGAGCAGAATTAGCTTGCAATACTATGAAAATTCTCAGTCATCCAGGTCACGGTTGTCCCAAAGGTGCNGTGGGGGCGATATGCTGACTCTGTAAACCACTTAGAGAGGGCTGAAAGCCCTATGAAGCGGTATATAAGTCTAACTGATATTGCTATTGCTATCTATCATCTATTTTGTCAAATATGTACAAGATAACAGGTATAAGTATAAACATGGATGTGAGCAAAGGAAATGAGAATAAATAAATGGGGACAGTAGGAGGGGGATGGAAGGCACACTGGTGCGCTGGTGCACGCCCCCTTTCCGTACCTCTTAGGAATGGGGTAAGGTCCACAGTAGACAGTTTAAGGTTGAAGCTATGGCGGGTTGAGGATGTAACAAGGGAGTCAGGTCGAGCATTCCAGGAGTTGACCACTCTGTTGCTGAAGTCGTATTTTCTGCAATCGAGTTCGGAGCGGTTTACCTTGAGTTTGTATCTATTGTTTGCCCGTGTTTTATTGCGGTAGAAGCTGAAGAAGTGATTGACAGATAGGACATTGCAGCAGACAATTTTGTGTACTATGCTTAGATCAGACTCTGGGTGGCGTAGTTCCAGGTTGTCCAAGCCCAAAATTTCAAGGCTGGTGGCATAAGGGATTCTGTTGTGAGCAGAGGAATGGAGGACTCTTCTCGTGAAATGCTTCTGGACCTGCTCAATTGTATCTGTTATACAGTGTGGATTCCAGGCAGATGAGCTGTGTTCAAGAATTGGTCTTTGATTTGGTTGCATGAATTAAGTTGGCACAATAGCAGTATTCTAGTATTTGAGGGGCTGCCACAAAGAAGAGGGGGTCAACCTATTTTTCAAAACACCAGAAGGTAAGATAGGAACCAATGGATGGAAACGAATTAAGGAAGAGAAGCAACCTTGAACTAAGGAGAAATGTCTTAATAGTCAGAACAATTAATCAGTGGAACTGCTTGCTCTCAGAAGTTGTGGGGGCTTCATCACTGGAGGCTTTTAAGAAGAGATGAGACAGCCCCCTTGTCTGAAATAGTATTGGGTCTCCTGCCTGAGCAGGGGGTTGGACTAGAAGACCTCTAAGGTCCTGATAAACTGGTACTTTGCTTTTGAGAAGCATATTCTTCTCTGTTGGATCGATGATAGGAGACACTGGCAGGCCCATTGCTTTTAAATATGTTCTCATCAGGTTTTTTTCTGGAACCTAAATGCTCTCTACAACATTACCAAGTTCATTAATTTAGGTTTCTGGGGGTGAACGTTTCTAGCATACATACAACCTTTCCTTTACTATAGTTTCTGATTCAATGTTAAGCAGAAGGTTTGCATGCTGTCCTTTCTTCCGTAGATTATAGAGTGGTAAATAATAAATATCATAAAACAGTAAAATATGCATGAAAGAAAGAAAAAATAACAATATTATGTGGCAGCAGCTAAAAATATTCTGCAAGCGAAAGCATTTTTCAAAGTAATTTCCCAAGGAAAATAAAAATGTCTTCATTTGGTTAGAAGAGGCACATAATATAAAGGTGCATTGTTATTTATTACTTCATAGTGGTGAGGGATTTTTCTTGTTGTTGTTGTTGTTTTCTTTTGAACATTTTAAAAAGGCAGGCAGTCTGGGTGCTTCCAGCCCAGCTGTTACGTGCTCTGAAGGTCGCTCCTAAGGGTGTCACAACTACCCCTAAGGATATCACTGGGAGCTTGTAAGCAAAACCTTTTCACATTGCTCCTTCTGCACACAACTTTGCAACTTCTTTTTGTTTAAAAACTGGGGAAATACAAACTGCGCCTATTCCACAAAGACCAAACCTTGCTCTGATTTCAAAGTAGTTGATGAAGGGAGAAACTAGTTCTGGGAAGAAACAAAATCAGAAATAGGGGGGAGGGAGGGAGAGAGAGAGAAAGGGAATGGAGAGATAAATAATATATTGATGATAGATGGATAAATGGAGAGGGTGGAGGGAGGGAAGAAGAGATAGATGAGAGAGAGAGGGAGGGAGGGAAGGAGAGATAAATTATATACATGATAATATATAGATGATAGATAATATATAGATGATAGATGGATGGATAAATGGAGAGAGGGAGGGAAGCAGGGAAGAAGAGATGAGAGAGGGAGGGAAGGAGAGATAGATGATATATAGATGATAGATAGATGGATAAATGGAGAGAGTGGAGGGAGGGAAGAAGAGATAGATGAGAGAGAGAGGGAGGGAGGGAAGGAGAGATAAATTATATACATGATAATATATAGATGATAGATAATATATAGATGATAGATGGATGGATAAATGGAGAGAGGGAGGGAAGCAGGGAAGAAGAGATGAGAGAGGGAGGGAAGGAGAGATAGATGATATATAGATGATAGATAGATGGATAAATGGAGAAGGGGAGGGAAAGAGGGAAGGAGAGATAGATGAGAGAGGGAGGGAGGGAAGGAGAGATAAATTATATACATAATAATATATAGATGATAGATAATATATAGATGATAGATAGATGGATAAATGGAGAGAGGGAGGGAAGCAGGGAAGAAGAGATAGATGAGAGAGGGAGGGAAGGAGAGATAGATAATATATAGAAGATAGATGGAGAAATGGAGAAGGGGAGGGAAAGAGGGAAGGAGAGATAGATGAGAGAGAGAGGGAGGGAAAGAGAGAAATAATATATAGATGGTAGATAGATTGATAAATGGAGAGACGGGAAGAGAGGCAGGGAAGAAGAGAGATGAGAGAGAGAGGGAGGGAAGGAGAGATAGATAATATGTAGATGATAGATAGATAAATGGAGGGGGGAGGGAGGCAGGGAAGGAGAAATAGATGAGAGAGAGAGAGAGAGAGAGAGAAAAAGTTTCATTCCACCATAACTAATAAAATGAATTGTGGAAGAGTATAGGAGAAGAGGAATGATTGAAGAAGTTATTTGAGGAGAAAATTAAACATTTATGAAGATATTTATACCAAGGTTCTGCTGTGTTCTTTAGACAATACCTTGTCGTCCCAGGTCTGACATATGGAAGGGTTTCTCTTGCATTGTTCCACAACTGTGACATGTTTTGAATTCCTTGGGAGTTGCCTTGGGATTGGGCTTTCTTGATATTTGGAGTATCTGAAAAGTTATGCATCTTTTTTTCCCATGCTTCTAATTCTTAAATTTTTTTTAGTCCGGACTTTACGATATGTTTTGAGTTTTATCTTGATGTCAGGCCCAGAGATAACACTGGGAGATCCACTCGACTCCAAATCTTTATTTGTTCAGTCATTAAATTTGGCCAACACTTCCCAACCCAATGGATCAAAGTATGCCAGCCCAACCGTCCTCCACCGTCTCCCAAAATTTGCCCCAAATTCATGTTCATCTAACTAACCGCATCATCCTCTGCCATCGCTTTCTCCCTTGGCTTTCAATAAATCTTTATTAGGCTAAACAGGTTAAACTTAATAGATAGAAGGGGCACAATGGCTCAGTGGTTAAAGATGCTGAGCTTACCAGGTTCGCGAGCCAAGTGCCACACAATGGGGTGAACTCCTGTTACTTGCCCTAGCACTTGCCAGCTTAGCATGCAAGTGTAGGCAAATAAATAGTTATCCCTTCGGTGGGAAGCTACAGAGTTCCATGGATATCTTATAAATCCCTCCGGTGGTGATGTGGTCTATCCAGTGGTGGGATTCAATTTTTTTTTACTACTGGTTCTGTGGGCGTGGCTTTGTGGGTGTAGTATGGCTTTGTGGGCATGGCTTTGTGGGTGCGGCAGTGGGAGGATACTGCAAAATCCCCATTCCCTCCCACCCCACCTTACTAACCTGCTTCCCAGCTCCATTCTCCTGTTCAGGGCAACAAAAGAAGATCTGCTGGGAGGCAGTGGGGGCGGGGCCAGCCTATTTGCCGGTTCTCAGAACTACTCAAAATTTCCACTGCCAGTTCTCCAGAACCTGAGAGAACCGGCTGAATACCACCTCTGTGTCTATCCCATATTTTTCTAGCTTACCAAGAAATACTGTAATTTTTTGGAGTATTAGATGCACTGGAGTATAAGGCGCACCAAGATTTTGGAGAGGCAAATTAAAAAAAAATGTTTGCACTCTTCAGACCTCTCAAAAACGGCCCGTGAAAATGGGCCCTTTTATTCAAAAAAAGGGCATGCATAGCCTTTAGGAGGCTTGTAGAGAGCTCCTGGGGGGTGCCCCCCCAAAATGAGCAAAAAATGGCCCATTTTTCGCAAAAACAGGTCCGTTTTTTAAACAAAAAAAAGGCATGCAGAGCCTTTAAGCTTATAGAGTGCTCCTGGGGGCTGGGGGCAAAACTGAGCAAAAAACAGCCTGTTTTTCGCTCATTTCTGCCCTCCCCAGCCCCCAGGAGCACTCTGGAAGCCTCCTAAAGGCTATGCACGGCCATTTTGGTGAAGGGGGTGGGGTTTCAGGAGGCAAAAAATGCTGTATTCAGTGTATAAGACGCACCCAGATTTTCAGTCTCATTTTTGTGGGGAAAGGGTGCGTCTTATACTCCGAAAAATACGATAGGTTGTGGTCTACTAAATGTTGTCTCAATACAACGAATACTGGGTCAACAATTTTGCATCGTAATGTATTGAGTACCAAATTCAACATGTTTTGAAGCGTTCATACTGACTCTTTGTGTATTTTCTCTTCTACAGCTAGACTGCCCTACCTCATAAGTCAGTTACAGCCTTCCCAGGTCAAAGCACCTCAAGGTAGACCAGGGCCTCCTGGGTCACCTGGAAAGGAAGGCCTTCCAGGACGACTTGGCCCTCCAGGAGAACCTGGCAGACCCGGGCAACCAGGTTCAGAAGGTCCGTTGGGACCTATGGGACCAAAAGGTGAGTAGTCATTTAGCTGGAAAGCATCTTCAGATCCAAACTGCCCTTCTGATTTAGATCTTTCAAGGGCTATGGACAATTTTTGCAATGTGAAATGTTGTGTGGGTCAAATAAATGGAAATGGTTTATGGTGGAAGGTTTCTAAATGTGCATTTTCAAATGGAGTGACACATCATAGGAGGTAGAAGGAAATATCAGCGTAATAGCTTTTAATGTATTGTCTTATTTCCACCCTGTTCTTCCGTATGGAAAAGTGAGGAAGGATAAGGGGGAAAAAAGGAAAAAAAAACACATTGACTCTCTCTGTTGCAGAGAGGCATTAACATCAAACCACAACTTTTTTTCTTTTTTCATAATAATATGAACAAGCCATTTCTATAAAGATCTATCAAACAAATAGTTAAAACCCAAAATCAAAGTTTCATTCTTTTCCACTTCAAGCCCAAAGTTCAGAAGCTGTCTCCGTGTGGAAACAAAAGTACTTAACATTCGTTTCTTTAATCAAAATAGTCAATTTTGCCATTTCAGCCAACTTCACTAACTTCTGCAAACATTCGTCCAGGGTAGGAATCAAAATGCCCTTCTATATTTTTAGTGCATATGACAGTCTTCCTTTTGTCAACATATACCATATTTTTCTGAGTATATGATGCACTCCCCCCCCCCTAAAAGTGGATGAAAATTTTGGTGTCTCTTATAGACCAAATACAGGCTGGATTTTGGGCTCCTGAATCCTCTGTGCATCGTGTATTTGCCCTCCCCAGCGCCCAGAAGCACTCTGCAGTGCTCCACACAGCCCGTTTTGCCAACAAGGAGCCCATTTTTGGGCTCCCAAACCCTCCTACATCCCATTTTAGCCCTCCCCGGCCTCCAGAAGCACTCTACAGACCACAAATGGGCATTTTTTGATGAAAATTAGCCCCTTTTGGCAAAAATGGGACATGCGGAGTACTGCAGAGTGCTTCTGGGGGCCAGGGAGAGTGAAAACGTGACATGTGGAGGCCAAAAACTATTTTTTCTTGTTTTCCTCCTGTAAATCTAGGTGTGTCTTATAGTCCAATGTGTCTTATAGTCTGAAAAATATGGTGTTTTTGGAGTATAAGATGCACCTTCCCCCCCCCCCACACAAAAGAGTGTGAAAATGTTGGTACTATTTTTGGCCTCTTGAAGCCCTGCCCTGCATTCCATTTTTGTGAAAAATGGGCAAAAAACAAGCTGGGTTTTTTTTTTGCAAAAACCGGGGACGTTTTTGCCTCCCCCCACCCCCCAGAAGCACTCTGCAGGCTTCAGCAGGGCCGGGGGAAGGAAAAAATGCCGCTATTTTGGTAAAATTGGGGACGATTTTGCCTTCCCCCAGCCCTGCTGAAGCCCGCAGAGTGCTCCTAGGGCTGGAGAGGGCAAAAACTTTTTTTCTTACTTACTTCTTCAAAATCTGGGTGCGTCTTATAGTCCGGTGCGTCTTATAATCTGAAAAATATGGCATATAGTAAGAATGGTGGGTCTCGCTATTGATAAGACGTGAATGGTCAAGAATCTTTATATTTGCACTCTACAAAACAGTCAAAGTCTTACTACTGTAGTTAAAATGTACTTTAATTTCTCCAACAGGTGACAGAGGGGAGAAAGGAGAGAAGGGAGATGCTGGCATTGGCCAGAGGGGTGAAACTGGTCCGCCTGGAGTGGCAGGTGGGTTGCTTATTTTCTGCAAACAGGGATTTATATGGCTTAGGGCAACTTTCCCCAAACTTGACCAAGCCAGATGTCAACTCCCAGCGTTGTCGTGGGAGACAAGGAGAGGGAGTGCATTCCATGCATACTATTGGCTGGAGTCGGATCTCAGATTCTGCAGCCAGCTTGGGAGGGGTG